TTCTATTTGGCACAATCTATAAAAGGATTTGATTATTACATTTGACATAACCAACTTCATCATTATCTTAAAATATCTCATCAGAATCACAGATACAGAATGAAAACATTACCATCACCTTGTTATTATGGTGGAGTTAGAATGAAGTGAGAGGATTATTTTTCATGCCCAATATATATTTTTCAAATTTGAAAAGGCTCTAAGCTCTAAATTGATAATCGGTATATTTCTTGATATAGTAACACTGCTATATTTTCCAGTCTAATCAAATCACTTTTTTGTAGCATAAAGACTCCTACAACACAAAATGATAAAGACTTCTTCCTCTTCCCACTGGAGAGGATATAGAAGAAATGTGAAACACGTCTAAAGAAATGAGAATTGAAAAGTCTGAATTCCTCAGATAGCTAAGAAGCACACTAGGAAGCATGCTCCTTACATTTATAATTCTGTATTATAAAACAGGAAATACTGAGAAATAGTTAAATGATCTGACACATACTTCTATCCCAATAAGGAAAGCATAAGATATCAACTAGCCTGGTGTTATACCAGAGGACGCTAAGAAGTACAGGAAAGAAGATCAGTAATAATAAAAAATTAAAGCTTTTATTTCACGTATATACTGCTACAGAGTATGAAGTAATTGAATTGTAAACTAAAAAAAATAAATAAAAAAGTGAGCCACCGCCCAGAAATAAGGGGTGGGGGCAGAAGGTCAGTGGTTTTTTTATTACTCTTTTTTTTAAAGGTGAAAGCGTCTTGCTCCTGTACTGAACTGTTTCTGTCCTCTATTTCATGTGCTTTCAGGCAGAAAAGATTTTAGCTGATTTCTGTTACAAGGAATTTTTTTCTGAAGTAATCAGCAGTCAAGGTAAAAAGAATTAGGTTTCATTCACAGGCAGAATAAAAATGTTGTAGTTCAAGATCAAATTCATTCTAAGGCTTAATTTCTTTGTGATTATAACTCTCAAACTTTTAAATTGGGATGAACTACATTCAACAAGATACATAGAGTCGGTCTCTTTCTCAACAAAGAACTGGTCCTTTGCTTCAGTCTGATTAGGCTCAATGGAGTGGTCTTATGCCATCTCTAGACCAGTGCCCATAAAATATCTTACCTCGATTGGCTTAGAATTAAGACTAACCTTGAGAACAAGAGGGATGGGTTCCACCTCCCCAATCTAGTAACTGTATGAAGGAAGTTTCCTGATCAAAGCAAGAGTTCTGTTGTGAACAAAAGGAGGAAATAGACATGAAAGAGGTAATCAGCAGAGTGTACCATACTTCTAACTCTTGACTCACCTAAATATTTTGACCAGTTACTAATGATATGCTTTACTGGCCATAATACCATTTATACATTGGCATAAGTGGCTGCTACTGTGGGGAATGGATAATTAAAGACTAAGTTTAGGATGGTAAAGAAACTTCCTGGCTGAACCCAGGGCTGTGATATCAACCCACAGTTACACATACTGGTACCTTTGTCCAGCACAGTTGCTCCTAGATGTAGCACAGCAAAAATCTAAACAATGAGAATACTGTGGCTATCTGATTTATGGCCCTCGTGAAAATTCAGTATCTGAATAGGACCTGGAACCATTTGAATAAAAAGGCAAGACAGGTTTACTGAAATAAGGGCCTAAAAAGTGACCAAACTATTAGCATTCAAGAATACCCATCACCATAGGATTTCATAGCATAGAGCTATTTTGCTGAGGCACCAAGTAATTTAAGTACAGGAAGTACCCAACTTATGAACAAGTTCTGTTCCAGGAGAATGTCTGTAAGTCAGATTCGTTCATAATCCTACAAAGTGAGTAGACAGTACACCTGTGAATCTTGTACAATACACTTGTGAAAGTTCACACCTGGAATGTTTCTAAGTCCTAGACTTATTGTAATAGATAAAGACTACCCCAAAACAGAAAACAGAACAAACCTTTGAAGAATTCACTTAAGTATACAGTTTATGTGCAGCATTCTTTCCACTGTATCACTCTGAAGCCTAAAGTTCTGCAGGCAATAGTGTAATCCAATAAAGACCTTTCACTTCCAAATTCTGAGAATAGAAAGTAACATTTTTGCAATTTAGAGGAGTAGGAAGAAAAAGGACTAGCAATATCTGGTATTAACCAAGAGGGAGGGAAGGAATAAAGCAGAGAAGAAGGGAGGATGGAAAGAAACGATGTTATACAACACAAATTTCTACTTCAATTGTTTGTCTTTATTGAGGACAGCAGGTGGAAATGTAAGTTATTGGTATCTTTTTTTTCCCAAGATTGGGACAAAACAATCAATGGCATAAAGAGATGTTAGCAGGACAATAAATGATTCACTGGTATATTATTACAGCTCTTAAAGCATTTGCTGCTTTCGAAATCATTTGTAATGAGGATATAGAAACAAGGTGTTCTTACATCCTCTTAATTTGGCTTACCAATTTTTTTTCATGTTGAGGACAACACTAACAAGTATACTTTGTGGGTTCCCATGAAGAATTAGGCATAAATATGTACACAAAAGTATGCATTCGAGTATGTTTCAGGATTGGTTGGCACACATCTAAGAGCTAGTAAATGTTACATTTCTTGCTCCTTCACCAAAACCTGGTCACTGAACAGTGTCTTATCTAAACTGGCTTAAACATATGCCTCAGCTAAGGGGTTAGGAGCCAACACAAAGTTATTTATCTGAAAACTATGGAGTTCTCTGTTCCCACATAATACAGCACTGTAGATTTGGAATGGCCTGGTTAGTACTTGGATGAGAAAGACTGTTTTTAAGGGCAACTTCAGATTTGTGAATAGGGTAGTGGTGAGTAGAATTTGACAGTGGAATCATGAAAGTGGCAAGGATGTCATTTTCTCAAACAGCTTTTTCTAATTTGTAGAAAGTAGGATAAACATATTGGAGCACAAAACTCACTTGCAAAGAAGTTATTTGGCATATATAGATGAACGCCTTTTGGTTTTCTTTATAAATAAAAAGCCAATACACTACTTTTTGTATCCTAACTTTCTTACAGATCAAGTATTATAATTAAATCCTGTTTATGCTCCTGACAGCCTGCATTTTACAATTTAGTTCCTATGTGTTATATTTAGCTATTCTGAACATGTCACAGGAAGTTTCAAAAGACAGCACACAGCATAAACAGTTCTCAGATTTCCACAATTAATCCTGAATTTATTCTATTTCTATTTACAGAAAGTCTGAAATCTTTTTCATTGCCATTCATAGAGACAGAGTTGTAGACTTCTATCTCAATCAGCAATGGATTGCCAGAAAAAAAAGTAGCTTATAATATGGGTAATCATGAAAACAAAGACAAGAAACAACCTCTATTCTCTAAAATTTATTTATATCATCAGATCATTAGGTAAAGGACTTCTAAGGCATAGAGGGAATTAGCACTTAACACCTGCATGCATGAGATGCCACTCTTTATAATCTTCTTTATTTCTTCCAATTGAGATGGAAACTTCCATCTGAAGGACTGCAGAGTAAAAGGGACCAGGAACTTTCCTTTGTTTGTTTGAGACAGGGTCTCACTGTGTAATTCAGGATGGTCTTGAATATATAATGTAGCCCAGGCTGGCCTTGAACTTCGGTGCTCTTCCTACTTCAGCTTCCCAAGTGCAGGGATTACAGGTGTGTGTCACTAAATGTGGCTAAGCACATTCCTTTGTGTCCACATCCTTTTGTGTCTTTTTCCCTTCCCCTAATATACTTTTGTTAGTCTAGAATTCTTATTTTTTTAAAAAAAAGACTAGGTTTAATTTGTATCCCTCTGCAAAGTCTCACTTGATCACTTTTAAATCACTTCTCAATGAAAGTGAATTTTTATTTATTTTTAAATTTCTTAGCCCCTAAGACGCACCATATTCTTTAAGTCATTTCTATTCAAATTTTATATTTTAGCTTTGCCTAGAGTTAGAATTTCAAATAGCTTAAAATCATTTTAATTTTTTTAATAGTTGCCTGTAAGGTATACTTAGCCTTTTAAAAGAGATGTGCTTTTGAGAAAAATAACCTCAAATTTTTACAATACTATAGACAGACAACTCCAGAGCAGTTCTCCAGTGAAATTTAAATTAATCAGGGTTTCAAAAACTGGTCTCTCACTCTGCTATTTAACTTTCCAGAAGAGTTTGATATGAATAGAAACTTGAGAATCAGACAATCTTGATTAATTTTTCTAGTGGAAGTTGTTTTTTAGTCCCTAAGTTTTACTAAGGAGAATTCAGGAAAAGGATCAACTTTTTTAAAAAGGGAGATCAAAATGCTCTTATATCATTTCTGATTTCACTTAAGTGGTAGATCAAAGACAGGCTTTCTTAGCCCCTGCCTTACTGCTGGCATTTGGCTTGGGTAATGCTTTTTGCAGTGGGGGAAGGGGACTGTTCTGCATACTGTAGGATGTTTAACAGCAGCCCTGGCCTCCTCTACCCACTAGATACTTATACTAGCCTTTCCCACCCCTAGAGGGTAGAGGAGGCTGGGGATGCTGATCAGTTTCCTACTATGCACAAGACAACTCTCCACAACAGTGCATTACCCAGCCCAAAATGTCACCAATATAGGTTATTGGTTTCTTGTCTTGTTTTCTCTGATTGTTCATACAACATGCTACCACACAATGTCTGACAACCAAAACTTGTCTCCAGACATAGTCAAATGTTCACTGGAGCAGGAAATGGGAGCAGAGTAAGGCAAAATGGCCCCACTTGAGAACCTCTGCCCTAGAGGGAACATTATTTTCTCTATCACTAAAACTAATGAGTCTAGAATAAGCTTGAACCTTTATTCTTATAAAGGAGGTATACAAGTGGAACCAAAACTTTGTGGCAGTGAAAACATATTTTAAAATATAATCAAGACTTGTCATGTAGAGGTACAAGATCCCAACAATGAATGTAACTGTACTGTATCCCTAAAATGTACCAACAAACTCAATTAAAGCTGAAAAAAATATAATCACATCTAAATTATACTTATAAACTGGTCAGTTTTTGTGCAACAAGGTCTGATTTCAATTGAATCTCAGCTAATTTCAAAGTCATCTCTCTATAAAGGGTACCACTCACTTTTAGGTTCATTTCTAACAGTTTCTCCTTTTCTGTTTGAACTTCTCTTCTATACAGATGGATTTTCTCTGTTTCATCTGATGAAGCAATCATGGCACTACTGTTTCCTTTGCTTGCTTCAGAGTTCTGAATAAAGTTGCTTTCAACCTTAGCTAACGCAGAAGAAGAAAGAGAACCAAAGGTAACCAGTTCCTTCTCTAAAGTCAGTGCCAAACGATCAGCTGGGATATCCTCACTTCCTAATTTTAGATATTTGAAGAAACAGTTTATAGGAAGAACTCTGATGAGATTATGAAGGCACTGTAACAAAACTGTTTGATTCCTGAAATAAAAGACCAAACATAATATTACAAAGTCAAAATAGCACAAAGCAGTCATATACAGTATACTATAGTAATCAATATTCAATTATAAACACTATAATGATTAAAAGAATAAAATACCTGTGCTATTGATAAAATTCAGAAAGTAGCAATAAATATATGCTTTCTATAGTAATGGGGTTAATATTAGTCATGTTACCTACTAATTAAATCTCTTTTGCTGCCAAATAAAATTAGTACTATATATTTTTAAAAATCTCACTATGAAGTAAAAGGAAATCCTAAAATAATTACTAGGCTCTAAGAAAAAGCCAAACTCAAACAGAAAATGAAAGCAGAGATGGTCAGTTTCTAATTGAGGCCACACCTGTCCACTCACATTGTACCAAACCATGGCTGTCCCACCCACAGCACGGAATTTTACATGGGGATCATGGTTGGCCCATGCATTCACCATACTCAAACACAACTAACTTCTCTGGATTGATTACTATGTAATGTGGATTACCTGGAATAGACTGTTAAAATCCCTTCAAATAATGTTCTTTGTTTCCATCTGAAGAGTGTCCCATAGGAACTACCTGGCCTTTTACAAAAGCACATTTCTGGAAATTCTTTGATTACTTCACCTTTCATGTGGTCTATAAGCCACACCATCATTGAATTTAGGGCATACCCAGGTGATGTGATTTGAAAACAAGATTTGTGCAATACTGTGAGATATGCAAATAGATTTTCCATGTGTTCTGCAAAATAAATGTTATAAATTTGACCATTAAACTCTGTCCATTATCAAGTAAATAGTCCTTAAAATTTTGATTAAATATTATTAAAAAAATCAACAAAAATTACCTATTGGTTTGTTCTCTGGAAATGTCAGTAGATAATTCCCACTTGAAAGATCTTCTAAACTTAAAAAAAGTTTGCCACATGGAATATATCGATCTTCAGGATAGTTACCATTTTTTCTTTCCCTAATTTGTAGCAGCACAATGCAACAAAATTTACTGTACGCTAAAAGTGGTGAAAGAGCTGTCACACCAGTAATTACCTGAACACACTCTTTCTTAGATGGCTGTTCACAAACAAAGCTTTCTTCTTCCTTTCTATCAGAGGTCAACTTGATCTTTTTTGCCTTTGATTCTACTTCATGTGGTATCAAATATGGTGCTGGGAAAGAATCTGTATTCAAACTAATCACCCTATTTTGACACTTAATAAGCTGAAAACTGGAGCTAAAATTTTGATCCATTAACAGTGATACAGTCACAGCATTCAGGGACCTGTAAAAAAATATAGGTTTATTTTAAAAGCTCATTTTAAAAAATCAAATAGATCATTGTCAATTAATAACAATAATTTTTCTTATCGTTTCCTGAGAAGCATCATTTCAAATGTAAACTATATAAAGAGTTTTAAATTATTAAATGTCCTATAGTACTACTTCTCTCAAAATAGGCAGGCAAAAGCATGGAAAATAGGCCCGACTTTTGGAAAATAAATTTTTAAGATAAAGGAATGATGAAATAATACCTAGATTTTTTAAAAGTATTTCCCCCACCCGCTTTTTAAACAAGAAAAAATTCTTCATTTTTCAACACTTTGTTTTGGTAATATTTAGAATGAAAATGCTTCTAAAGTAAAAATTGTATTTTGCACTCCCCTAAATGACTTGAATAAAATCTCCTTTTAATATAGAATATTGTTTACCCTTCATCATTTGTACCCAGATTTACATTTCTAATAATTCATAAATTTGATACATTAGTCTCATATTAGTATCAAATTATGATACATTGGCTTATTTTAGTGCATTCCAACACTACAAACATTATCAACTTAGAACAGATGAGAAACATGACATGACCAAAGAGAGGACTTGATTTTTAAATTTTTAGTTCATTTTATTTTTTCAAACAGGGTTTCACTATGTAGTTCAGGTTGGTCTTTAACTCACTATGTAACCCAAACTGGCCTCAAACTCATAGCAATCCTCTGCCAAGTGCTGGGATTACATACAGGTGTGGCCACCACACCCAGCTTGAGAGAGAACTTTATCTCATAGATATTTCACTATATATCTAATGGATTTTACTAAGGATTTAAAATGAAACCTTAATTTGTCATAATCATACTGTTGGTATTGTTATTTTGTAAATATTGCATATAGATTATGGAATGAAGCAAATGAGTAATTATGCTGGTGCAACTGAAAACTGAGATTTTCCAAAAGTGGGAAAGGGGATAAGTAAAGACTTTGAAGTCTTTAGTTTGAACTAGAAATATCAGCATAGATTTATGCTGTGTTTTATCACTAAAATGACAAAAAAAAAAACAGACCCAGACAACCAATCAAACAAAAAACATATTTTCTACCCCTGTCCACTAAAAAGGTATAGAAAAAATAATCCACTAAGGAGAAACTGAGCAATTTTTAGGTCCAAACTCTGGTCTCTTGATGACAAACAACATTTAAGAGTATAACTAAGTAACAGATGAGAAGAAATTTTCTCTTGATAGATATATTCTCACTAATAAACAAAGAAGCAATGATATAATTAGAGTATCATGTTAAAAATCCTAATAAAACAATAGAACTAAACAACGATCATCAAGAGATTCTAATATCACAAAATGAAAATGACCATACTTCCTATGCCTCCAGATGTAAGAAAGCAACATTACCTAGTAAGTATTCTCTCAAAACTTCAAGCATAATCTTATCCAGCCTCTAGATCTAACTACCAATTTAGAGGAAATAAAAGAGACAGAGAAATACATGAAGAAATACCACAGGATGAAATCAGCAAAATCGTATACAGAACTGCACAGGGTAAACTCCTTCTTTTTTTCAAAATACACAATTACAAGAATAACACACACACACAATGTGAAGAGGGTATCTATAGAATACAAGGGACTTAGAGATATCAGTCAAGTCTGATTTATAGTCCTTTTGTGGCTACCAAGTTGACAAATTATTTTAAAATTGAGATAAGTGTGTAATTTGAACATTTACTGAATTACTATTAATTTCTAGGAGTGATTATATACATTTTAAGTTCTTATTTTTTAGATCCATACACTGCAATACTTATGAATCAAATATGATGACACTCCAATTTCGAGCCCCAGTACCAAATACGATGCCACTGATTGCTTCAAAATAATCTGCAAAGTGGGAGTGAGGAGTGAATGGAGGTACAGATTGAACAAGATTAGCAATGAGTTGATAATTATTGGAGATCAGTGACAGGCAGATAGGGTTCACCAGTGCATTCTCTCAGTATGTTTGAAATCTTCTCTATATAAAAACATTTAAAAATATAGTCATACCGTTGAATTAGACTGCTTTGAAACTCACTGAATGTGATACTTGATGTTTTTGACACAACAATTTTGTCATTAGTTTATCATTAGTCAACAAACTTGACCTGCAAGATAGGACTTGTCAATATCAATGACTCCCTACCTTCCCAGTCAAAACAATTTATTTAGTACTTGTCATTTTTGGTACTCATTGCGCCTCCTGGAACCAATTAATGACAAGTACCACAAGGTCCCGAGTTTGATTCCTGGTACCAAAAAAAAAACCAAAACAAACAAACAAAAAAAAAAACAAAACAAACCAAAACAAAACAAAACAAAAAACACAAATGACAAGTACTAAGGTATCAACATAATTATGTTTAGCATATTAAGGAAATAAAAAAGAAATTAAAAACACGAGACAGTAAAAACTAACCAGGCAAATATGAAAAAGAACAAATAGAACTTAAGATAAATTCAAATGATAACAAAAAATGAGAGAGTCAAAGAGTAGATTAAATAACTGAATAGAGAGAACTAAAGATAAAATTAGTGAACAGAGTATCTATCCATCAGAAGAAACTAGCTGGATTTACACAGAGAAATAAAGAGAAAATATAAAAGATAAGAGATATGGAGTATAAAATGAGTAGGCATGGAATTCCATAAGTAAATAAATAGGGAAATTTCAGTATCTGAAGATAGTAATGAAGAATTTCTTGAATTTCCAGAAAAAATATCGATTTTCAGGGCCAGAAAGTTCAATACCCAAAGAAGAATCAAAGAAATCTGTATCTAATAACATTATAATGAAATAATTAGAAAAAGAGTAACAGAAAAAGCCCCAAGTAGAAGAAAATAATGAACATCAAAATTAATAAAACAGGAAACATACAATTGAAGATTAATATAACAATTACTTGAAAAGATTAATAAGATAAATTTCTGGTAAAACTAGTCAAGAAAAAGAGATGTATGTTTGAAATGAAAAACACCTGACAATTTCTGACAATATAGTTGTTAAATACCTGAGTCTCCTAGGAACAACTTATATTAATAAATGTGTTTTATGTCAAACAGATAAATTACTAAAAATATTAGCAAAGTACATTTAAGAATAAATAAAACCAGAATAATCCCATAACTCTTAAAAATTAAATCAGAAGTTAAAAATCATCTCATAAAAAAGCCAGATTAATGCTTTCTATGTACAACCAAATGTTAAAGCACAGGTAATTCCAAATTCATACAAATTATTCCAGAAAACAGAAAAAAAGGAAATAATTCTCAGAAAGGAAAAAATAAATAAGCTTTAACTCATTTATATAGCAGTATGAATTGGGTGTGGTGATATACTCCTATAGTCCCAGATTCAGTAAACTGAGGCAGGAGGAACACTTGAGTCCAAGAGTTTCAGGCCAACCTAGCTACCAGAGCAAGACCCCAGCTCAAAAAGATAAAGTTGTTTAGCCTTGATTCTAAAACCAAGCAAGTATCATTTAGGAAAATTTTAAGACAACTTCACTCATGTACCTACATGTAAATATTCTTAACAAACATTATTAAACTAAATTCATCAATGCACCAAAATGATATGAATTTCGATTTATCTCAGTAATGCAAGACTGGATATGTAATAGAAAATTGGTTACTATAACCACATTAAAGAAAAGAGAAAAAACATTCATATAATCAACTAGCCTAAAGCATCTTAGGAATTCACTGAAACAAAAGAATAAATCCATCTCAAAGTCACTAGATAAGTTTGGGGTCCATACTTTGCTAAACTGCTCAAATATACTGCCACTGTCTATCCAACTATTATAAGGCACTACCTGGTCTGTCTCTGTCTCTCTGTCTCTCTCTCTGCTCACATGGTTGTGGTTCAAATGTAGTACTGTAAGACCTATATTTAGCCTGTTTTAGCTAAAGAACTCTTTGCTAGACTGCAGACAACATAAACATTACCTCTTTACACATGATTTTGAAAGCTCCAAAAAGAATATCCTCTATGATCAGAGAGACATCGTTACTTAACTAAATTTGCACCAACTTATGCTAGTCAAAAGCTTCTAGATGTTTCTAATACCTCTAAATGTTTTGATAGAAAGCTTTGTGTGTTCCTTAATTATCTCTGCCATGAGGCTACAGCATCTTGATTTTGTAAATGTTACCCTTTTTATACTATTAATTCAATGCATTGTGTAAAAGAGATACTTCTAGAGTAGGACTGGCTGAGTAGCCATTAAGAATATATGGCTATGGACCACTAGAAATGTGCCCTGTCTGCATTGCAATGTGTTACGTACACAAAACACACACCAAATTTTTTAAATTTTATATGAAAAAAATCTAAAATACGGTATTTCACTAACATTTTTCATCAATTAAATGTAGAAATCTTTTTTGATATATTGGATTAAATAAAACATATCATGGCTGGGCGTGGTGGCTCACGCCTAAATCCCAGCACTCGGGAGGTTGAGGCAGGAGGATCCCTGCGAGTTTGAGACTACACAGTGAGATCAAGGCCAGTCTCAATTACATAGTGAGATCCTGTCTCAAAAAAAAAATCATTAAAATTAATTCCACCTGCTTCTATTTACATTTTTGTGGCTACAAGTTCATTTAAAAACACGTGGTTTGCATTAATTTCTATTGGCCAGCACTGGTCTAGATTAGTGGTAGTGAACCTAAGGCATACACAGTGGGCTGTCTGTATCATTTAAAGCTCTAAAAGGTTCACCATCACTAGTCTAGAGTATCAGTATAGCAGTATCACATCAGAACTTACAGATTCAAAGAAGATGTGGTTTTCACGCCAACAATTAAGCTATCATCCATTACACAATACCAGATCTTCTCTACTAGTTGCTTTGAATCCTGAAAATTTTCTGGTAACTTTTCATTAGAGGTATGGACACTATCTTCTTCTTCACCACAAAAAGGAACAAGAAAATCCTAAAAGAAAAATATGTTTAATAACAGATTACAAAAAATGTACCAAATATAACAAAACTAAAATCATGTAAATCAGCTTTTGGTCAAGTCTCACTGCTTAAACATTTTTAAATACATTATAATATACCATATTATAGATTACACATAACTTAGTAAATGAAATTTATAAAACACACACTAACTCTCTACTCAGAGTAAGAAGTACACCATGATTGGAACAAGATGAGTTATCCAACTTAGAGCCAGCAGGAATATAAACCTGGAGTCCATTTTTTAAAAGTCAGGCAGTATCCAGTATATCCCAAGTATACTGAAAATAATCCAATCTGTATTTTATCAGTGACTTGCCCTCCTCCTACGACTATAAAATTCGTATCAACAAAACTGATTAAATTTATCTTTGGACCATTTATACATTACTGGTAAAATTTTATTCTTAAAATCCAGGCCATATTCAGTCATTTCCACACACACAGAGATTTATAGTAAATATAGAAATAGTTGTAGTGGGAGTAGAGGCAATGATAATAATATGTACTATTTCTTGAATGTTTATGTCACGCACTGTTCTAAATCCATTCATGTATCAATTCAAGCCAATCCTCACAATAACCTTAGTATCCTTGGCTGCGTGCATTATCACCCACCTTTCCCAGATAGGCACAATGAGGCTAAGGGAGGTCAAGGAACATGTGGAGTTCACACAGCTAGCAAGTGGCAGAGCTGGGCTTGAACTGAAGCAGAATGGTTCCACTGACCATGCTGTAACTTAACCATTACTCTAAACTATCTCTTTACATGGTAATCACTCCAAAAAGATACGGGCACTTACATAACAGTGGATTAACATGTTCCTAGTACTCTGAAGCTTCTGCCAGTAGCTGTGGGATATAAGAAAAGCTAAATCTAAAACTTGACAAAACTGCTACTTCCTGCCAGGGTTTTTTTAAAATTAATAATGAAAAGGGCTAAAAATAGGGCCTTGCACATAGTGGCTTCAATACATTAATTTCTAACCATTCCTTCCTTCGATAATACTAGCAAAATCTCTGAGGTGCTGTGGGAAGGGAAAAGGGAGATTGGCCAATTTAGAGCAAATCAGAACTAGGCACTAAAGGGACTTAAGAGAATAAAATATAACATAAAGTTTCTCTACATTTGGCTTTTCTTAATTTATTTGTAAATTTTCTATGCTACTCTTTCTCTGTATATAAATAATATGCATCAATACTATTTTTTTATGATGTCTGAATATTTTTGCTAATTGTCTACATTTCACTGTACTGGCATGACTAAGCTACCTGAATAGGTTCTTATCATGGCCAACAGTAAGAAAAAAAGAGAATGAAATTATAAAATGCAAATAAAAGGGCTAAGAAAACAACAATGTAGAGACATTTACCAGAGGAATAAATACCTTTAAAAATGAACAATTCAGCTAGCTAAAAGAACAATTATCATATACTAATACAAAATTACGGCATCACCAATACAAGATTAAATAATGCTCAGTATATTTTATTTACATATTCAAGAAATACATAATTTGGGAATAATTTCTATCCAAACCATGCAAATAAAAAAGTTTAATAGCTAAAACCTTTTAAAACAAAAGAACTTATTCTTCAAGCTTCTTTATAACCAAGTTTTAAGTTAAGATGTAATGTCCTTTGGGATTATATGTAAATTGGTGCAATACTGGCTCCTTAATCAAATACTTTTCAAAGTTATAAAGACTACCACTATTGTCCCTGCCACTTTTCTTCTTGATCCACTGAGAAACAATTTCTTATTCCAATATTCAAATTTAAATAACTCTTCACAGCTTGTAGAATTTCAACTCATAAAGTAAAAAAATGGCCACATGATTAATTTTACCTCCTCTGCATATGATGTACTATTATCTTTTCCTTGAATTGAATTTATTAAAGCTTTCCAAGATTTTGAAATAATTTTTTCCTTAAGCAAGAGATGCTGCTGTAATTCTTGAATAGAAACTAAACCAATCTGTAAAATAGAAAGAAAAACAGTTGCTGGAAACATTATTATAAACTGAAATCAGACATGCCATTAATTCAAGAAGTACTCCAAATGTTTTTTTAATTCATTTGCTATAGAAAAAGAGAATATTTCTTAAAGCACAGCTGCTTTATTGATAGATTTTAAGTCTCCCTAATTACAAAAACAAATTGTATTTTTTTTCTTTCAAAGGAAAACATAGCAAATAACTGCAATACATAGTTTAAACATCAAAGTAGTTAGGAATCACTATGAATAAAAATCTACGCCTACCAAAAAACGTTCTTATTGAAATCATTTCTACTTCAAACACAAAGTACCTACATAAGTAAAGACATCATCATGAATAGAAATGACACTTTGAATTTCACATTTGAAATCCTGTTTATATAATTTTATAGCAAAAATTTCAAGATAACACATAAAAGCCCCCAACTTGCTATAAGTTTATTTTTGTGCTAGTAAGCTCAGTGTTAGGATAAACTCCACTTAAAAAAAAAATCTTAAAAGTACAGTATTGAAAAACAGAAATTTAGCAATTAACAGGGCATAGAGCAATGTATTCCTCTTATTATACCAGATGAGTAGATTTCAGCACTAAGGGTGAAACATTCACGGAATATATTTTGCTACTGAAAATTTAAACAGTCGTGTCACTGAACTGATGGAAGTTGTTTCATTTTAGATGGATATTTTAGGCTGTTTAAGTATTAATCTAGCTTTTAATAAAACATGTTTTTCTATATTTAAAAACAAAATGCATTTCTTTTTTAGATTCCTTTCATTTAAATTTTAAAGAAGGCAAATTTGTTTCCATGAATGAATAAAAGGTGGAGCGTGAAGACTAAATTATTTCTGTATCTTACATTATTATCGTACAAAGCATGTAAAACGTATATCTACATTTTCAAACTTTTCACGCTGACCTAGTTCTCTGAACGCTACATCTTTCACATTCCAATGCTCATTTTTTCAGTCATTTGTGACTGAGGTGAAAAGAGATGCATCCATCAGTGATATATAGTCAAACTGAAGCCCTGCATGGGTAGGGAGTAGAACCAAGGACTAGGCGGGCAGACTGAAATAAACAATATTTTACCTTCTCTTCCTATATGTGCAGTCCTATTTGCACAGCTAATGGACTGCTGACCTTCCCAGAACTTTTTCATGTAGATGTTAAAGAATATTTTCCTTCTTCTCCTCCTCCCAAAAAACAAACAAAAAACCCTACCTAAAAACCAAACCAAATAAACAAACAGAACAAGAGCATGACACTAAACCTTGCTTTTTGGGGGTGGGGGGGTTAGAGTAAGCTTGATCATACATGCAGAATAAACAAAAAGCTTACACTAATAATAAGGAAGTCATCCTGCATATAATTACACCCAAATCAAAAAGCAACACAAGACCTGCCTGTGAGTTTCCTGCAATCACAAACTTCCCTTTCTCCCTGCGAGAAAACATTACCCTCACTGTTTTAAGCTAACTTCCTTATCCTCATAATTTTAGCACCTGTGTATGAATTCCTGAGGCATACTTTTTGGATGTTTTGCTTGGAAATCTCTTATAAGTGGAATTATTCTGATTGCATTAGGTTTCACAGTTGTGTGCATGTCTTCATTAGCAGCTGTGGACTATTCTTTTGTTGCTCTCTAGTAGTCCATCCTGTGACTACAATTTACTTCGCCACTCCGCGGTTGGGCATTTGGGTTACACCCAGTTCTGGAACACTATAAACATTGCTATGAGCATCCCTGTATGAGTTCACAAATTCTTCCAAGGTGCCAGTCCCCCCTTTTCCCCTCAAAAAACTGAGTAAAAACTAGATTTCATGGGAGAAAGAACAGTGCAATGGACTCTAGCTCTAGCTGTGCGAGTCACTTAACATTCCTAGCTCTTCATGTGCTTCTTCACGTCATTGTGTAAAATGGGGTAGGGAGAGGTAGATCTGCTTATTTCTAAAAAGCAACTACTGTTAGAAGGCAGAAATTTAAAACAACATATGGCTTACCACCCACTTCCATTTCTCCTTGCCTCCCCTTCATATTGTTTAAAACCTTTCATATTTTCCTGTCTTTGTACCACCTTCTGGATAATTTTCTAATAAATTCTGATTCACTAATTTCTCTGCATCCCTTTAATCTTTTTAACAGTTTTTATTTTTATTTCAGTTAACAGAAATGCTATTTGGTTGTTTTCTATGAATAATTACTCATGATGCCTTGTTTCTTCATGTGCTTCGTTATTTTGTGGGTGACTCATTTTCTTTGAAAAAAAATCACTTGTGAGATTTCTATGAGAACAAAGATAAATGTTCTTTCAGAGAGGATTTTATGTTGGTTTCTACCAAGGTATCTGGGGAATCACCACTGTAGGTTCAATGCATTTGTTCCCAGGGCAAAAGGAGTATCAGTATTCTGCTTCTTTCTCTAAGCCCCAGCCTTGAAAGTTTGACTTGATAATTTATTCTTATATGATCAGCCTTTTGAAGCTTTAACAAAAATTTTAAAAATTATTTCAGGTATCATTTCAAGTTGTTTTTAATCAGGAAAGTTGGTACCACTTTCATAAAATCGTGCTTTCATAAACTATTCTGGCATCATTTCTAAATCAATATAGAAATGAACATTATTTTGACAAGTATGTAATATTCCATGGTTCAGTTATATCGTAATTTATTTACCATATTTCTAAGGATGGATATTTAAGATTTTGACCAATATTGTTATTTATAAATGTTACATAAAAGCTCTTACAAAATCATCTTTGGACTTGAGGGGTAGCACAATAATAAAGCACATGCTTGGCATGCATGAGGCCTTGGGTTCAATCCCCAGCACCCCACAAATCATTTTCTTTCCTAAGAACTGATTTTTAGAAGTAAAACTGCGAGAGTAAAAAGATACATGCAATTCATATTTTAATAGCTAATAAGAAGTTTCCCCTAAGAAGGCTTTATAAAGAATATTTACATTAAGGAAATGAATCCTTTGTCATATATCATAATTCCCCCCCCATTTGTCTTTTTATTTATTTTACTTTGTTCAGGGTACAAAAATTTTTAATTTATCAGTCTCTCCCTTTACAGTTCTACATCCATTATAACATTTTATTTACCTACTATTCACATTAATTTTCTAATATGTATTGAATAAGCATTCAGTAAATTCACTTTTACTTTCTAACCATGACAGTATTGTGGTTATATGGAAGAATATCCACAGTTTTAGGTCTCCTGCCAAAATAAATGGAAATGAAGTATCATAACATTTGCAATATTCAAAGTGTTCTGAAAATACATAGGCTCATAGGCAAACATAAGAAGTAGCAAATATGATTATCAAAACTAACAATACAGCAGGGTGCATAGGAGAGGGAGAGAGACAACAGCTGAAACTACATGGGAACTACAGAGACAATCACTGCATTCTTCAAATTCTTCTATATATTTCAAAATTCTTATAAACAAAAAGACAAATTACAAAAAATATGCATATTATAATCACATTTCCATGTAAATTTGCATAAATTCATTAACTATCCATAAGAAGATACATACAGAAGTGTTAAAATTTGTTATTTCTTAGTAGTGGAGTAACAAGTAATTGTTTCTTCTCTCTTCATAACTAAAAAGGGACTTAGATAATATATAAATCAATAAGCATGCCTGTGTTCCAGTAAAACTTTTTTTCTTTAAAAAAAACCTACAAAGACTGATACCAGTATTTGATAATACCAACCCATGTGAAAAGGACTTTTAAATCTCATCATAGATCAACATTAACACACGAATATCTGCAACTGATTTGACAACAGGGAAAAATAATTGTGAACTCTGTTTAAAGAAATGTTGTCACAAAAAGACCTGTTCTCTCACCGGTAGACTTTTCAGCAAAATATACTGGTTATTATGTTTTGACTATTGTAAATGAAAATTATACAAATTTGTTTTCTATTGCTTAAACAACTACTTCATATCCTTACAAAATATTTCTCTGCATAGTTTTAGTATGTTACAGGGAATATTCATTACCTTAGTTCAGGTGGTGGGGGGGACTCTTTAGAGACTGTCTCTCTAAAAGAGACACTGTAGCATACTGATAGAAAGAGCAAAAATAATGTTTTCAGAAGTGAGCTTCTTACATTTCTTATGAGGTTTATTAAGTCTACTAAATCTTAGTATAAAAAGGCATCATTTTTAGATAAATAATGGTATAAGAGACTTTAAAAAGGTGTCAAAAAGTAAAGATCCTTGAAAATATTTTTTTCTCCAAGCACGGAATTGCTTATACTTTAAGCACCTTTCTTTCAATGTTCTTTTCTTCACTGAGAATAGTATTAACCAAAAAGCAAAAGCAGGACCGGGGAGTTAGCTCAGTGGTGCCTCCACCTGCCTCGCAAGCGCAAGGTCCCAAGTTCTATCCCTAGTACCAAAAAAAAAAAAAAAAAAAAACAGCAAAAGCAAATAGAGAATACTAACGTTTAATCTTCTTTCTAGAGGTGGAACAACCAAGTGACAATTTTCTTGTTGGTCTTCAAATAAATCATCTTTATTAGAATCCAAAGATTCACTCTAATAAAACAAAAAGAAATCAAAACTGAAATTTTTAAATAAATTGAAATTTAGAAGATTAATAAAACTCAAAGTTTATCTAGTCAAAGGGTAGTTTCCTATATGACATACAAGTCTATGTGAGGCAAATTATGTATTTTTTCCCCATCATCTTCTTTTAACTTAAAAAACATTACTATGGTTACTATTACTACCACCTAAAAATCTGTATATCTTTTAAAATGCTAGTTCACTCCTTTTTCTTCCTTAATTAATATTGATTATTTGTATAAAATGTTATTTTCAGAAGCAACAATAAAATTAACCTTCAGCATCATTGCCATTTGAGTCACCATCCAGTAGGCCAGTTATATCAAATGCAGTCAGTATCATGTTTGTTGTAAGGAGATTCAATATGCATATATTTGGAAGATATAATTTAATATTTAAAAGTTACAATCTACATACTTCTAAAATTCAAATATTTAAGTATGAAAACACAACTATTTAAATGGTCGATCAAAAGATTTTAAGTACTTAAATTTTCCAATATGTCTCATAAAGAAATGTATAATAAGTAAATAAAACTTACCGAATAGTTTACTTTGCTAAGATCTGTTATTTTAAATGAAGCCAGGCAATCTGAGTTCAAGGAGTCTTGAAAAAGGAGCAGTACTTGTTCAGTTCCAGTTCCAATAAAGTCATCTATCAGTACTGTGCTAAGTTTTTCCCACTTAGCAGCAACCTGAGAGAAATAGAGCATTAAAGAAAAATAGAGAACAGTGAAGTCAGATGTGAAATAAACTAAGTCCTTTGATTTTAGGTAGTTGTAATTTGTTACCCTCAATCTTGCAAGTGAGTAATAAAAATGGTAATATAAAAACTAAAATAAATTTGTACGATCAAAAACAAAGAATTATAACAACTTCATAAATAAGATAATTAGATTTAATGCTTTATTAATGTATGTCCAGGGACTGTCACATTCCTAGTTTCTATATTAAAATCTTATTAAAATTTATTTAAAAATTCTAACAGCTCTCATAACTAACTCATTTGGAAATTCTAACATTTGTCATGATTAAAACTGTCGTGAATTCTTTCTCTAGTATGGCTAATTTAAGGATGACTTTCATCCCCATAAGCCTTAGTAGATATGTATTTATGATCAGAACAATTACCCAAGGAATTCAGTTACACTAGATAACTAGCGGTACAAGTATACACTTCAAGAGCTCTCAAAGCAGAATAAGCTGTAGCACCATCAAGGTAAACATAATACCTTAAACCCTAGCAGAAGGGGTATAAGTATTATAAGGGCACACATAAACAGTGTGGGACACCAGTAGTGGGATACCTAGAAACAACCTGGATTAGCGAAATGATGTGACCAGTTTATACCAGAACACCCCACATTTTAAACAGAAGACACTTCTTAACTGTCCACAAAGCCAAAAGTTTTCAGATTCATTCCTGGGAATACTAACACCATGAGGATCAGATCCCCCTTCTCCCTAAGGGACAAAAGCAAAATCATCAACTCAGAATCCCAGGAACACAGATAAACATAATCTAGACAGGGATGACAAACCTCTGAAAGCGCTCAATGATACAAACAGCCTGATGCGGCATGCGTGCCCTAAATTCACCACCACTCATCTAGATGAAGGTGACTTATATTAGGGCAAGAACATAAATAAGGCTCTTCAACTAAACATAACCAATTAAGTGTTGCCTCTGTAAGACTAACTTCTAAACCTGTGATCCTTCACTTGTGCAGGGAAGCAGCTTATTTGTAAACTCCTAAAACCTTCAGTGATTTTCATGGAACATAAAGAACTATGGGAAGAGACATTATTAAGAACATGCTCAGGGGCTGGGGATTTAGCTCAGTGGTGCCACCGCCTGCCTCGCAAGTGCAAGGACCCAAATTCGATCCCCAGTACCAAAAAACAAACAAACAAACAAAAAACAAACAGAAAAAGAATGTGCTGAGCATGCAAACGTCACAGAGCTGGGCACTCATGTATATACATACACATTTGTTAGCACATTAAGAACATTGCTATCTGACACAAATATGGATGAGGCACAAATGCATGGCATATGTATAATTTAAAAATCTTTAGTACCAGGGAAAATAAAAGGGGAAATTAATTTTAATATATTTTCATCCCTCACTATCAGTAAAACTTGGTTCCTGGACTCCCCTGCAGATATCAAAATCTGCAGATGCTTAATTCCCTTACTGAAAATGGTACAATATTTGCATATAATGTATCCACATTTTCCCCATATATGTTAAATCATCTCTAGATTAGTTTTAATACCAAAAAACAATGAATAGTAAGTAACAGTGGTTATACTGTACTGTTTAGAGACTAAAGACAAGAAAAAGAAGTCCATATATATTCAGTACAGACATAATTTTTTTAAATATCTTAAATATGCAGTTGGCAGAGTCCATGAACCCCTGGATATGGAGGGCTGACTGTATTAACCTAGTATGTCCAAAATGCTACCATTTTGATTCAGTGTAATCAATTTAAAATTCAAATATTTTATTTTTACTAAGTAGGTGAAATCTTATGAGTATTTAACATTAACAACATATTTTAATTGAGACCAGCCACATTTTAAATATTGAATAACCACACATGGCTAGTGGTTATATTAGATACCTCAGCTTCAGAACATATTAAACTTTTCCTATTGATGATGCACCAATATCTGTGCATCAATGTCAATGACCTCAATTTCAAAACTGAAGTCATACAATGGATTCTTATAGATTTTTGTCAAAACTTGCAGAGACAGTATCTGCTTGAGAGAAAGCCTGAAGAAAAGCTAGACTCGGCTCTCTCTCATGTCCTATCATTGGATTAAACACACACCTGAGGCTTTTATGAAGTGTTCATCTGGGAGTACACCACCCTTGATTTTCATTATTTATTCTAATTTGTAACTGATTGTATTTTACCTATCCTGGTAAACTGGCTTAATCCCTTCTGAGAATAAGGTAGCAACAGGATGAATGGATTCATAGCTAACCCAAAGGAAGACTGCTTCTGTTGCTTTCTGTTTGGGGCAAAACTGCTATCAGACACCATTTTATTATTTAATAAGTTATTCACTTTATTACCCAAAATTTCTTAACCTAATACCACAAAGAGCAAATTCCTCCCAAAAGCCAATTTTAGAAAAAAATTTCCTTTGTAGTACTGTACGTTCTACTCAACTGTAACATTTGTCATACTGACTTTGTCTTAACTGCTAAGTATAACTGCTCAAATTCAATTACTGTAATTAACCTAGATTTTCAGGTATGATTAAAAAAATTAGAAATTAAAAATAGTAAAAGACAAATTAATTATAATTATAGTCATATATTTATATATTTCAAAACTTAAAAGTTTTTATAATTTAAAATGGTAAGGCAAAAAAAAGAACATTGTTAATAGTGAGACATTGTCTCAAAAAGAAAAAAGAAAAATCATCAGGTAGTATTCAGATAACTTTAAGAAAAAGGAACAATGTAATACACATGATTTTAAGTACAGCACTAATAAGTGACCTACATGATAAAATTCTGGGAAGGACTCTATGAAGCATGGGAATGCTTAAAAGGTCTATAAACACTAATTGAATTATGTGACTAAGTACTATACCTGAAAATTCTTTTTCCAAATAGCACAAGCATCACTGGACCTAAATGATATAATGAAAAAGAGGCTTCCGTCACCTGAATCTAAAAGTTGAACTGAACAAGGATCTTCAAATGGAAGCTGGCATATACTTTTAGGAGTTCCATTTTGGAATAAAATCAGCTGATTCTTTTGAGTAAGGGCAACCAAAGATATTCTTAACTGGTTGGTGATGATCTCAGTTGAACAGACGTGCACACAAGTTACCACACTGCTATAAGCTGGAGGTATAATGTATGTATTACTTAATACTTCTTGATTTTCAAGAGAGTATACACAAAATTTGGTATTCCAAATTGCATAATATGATTCTGATAGATTCTGGGTGCATTCTTCTTCAGATGAACAACCTTCTGTTTGTCCCAATAAAACTATGCCTAAATTTTCAATCTCACCTGCCCACTCAATAGAGGAAAAGTTAACTGACATATTAACAACTTTGCCAATTTGGGAAGAGATACAAAAGAAGGCTTTGACATGTTGCCATAAAACTAAAGGGCCATTGAGGACCCTTATATTGTCCTTCAACTCATAGTCGAGCTCAAAACTCAAACGCCTTTCAAATTTATTGGTACTGTGAAGAAATAGTAGAAAATATTTGAAAACCTTATTATTTTCATTGCTTTGTATCAAAATGCACGGGAAATTAATTCTAGTTCTGAAATCTGAAACACAGTTGCAACACACAATTTTTAAATTAGAGTTTTCTTCCTTTATGTTGAAGCATCCAGTGGACTTCAAAACAAATGTTCTTGTTCTTCTGTCAAATACCATCCTTCTAACATGTAATATGGATGTCTTTGCAGGCCATTTTTCTGTAAAATTGCCTTTAGAAAAATGAAAAACAAGGACTTCCCCATTATAACACAAGAGCCTTTCTTGTTCCTTAGATGACATTGCTCATTTGATAGTCATCCACAATATCGAGTCTTTGTGTTCATCCAGTTTTCAAATGCAAATTGATTCCAGCTGATGCTTTTAATCCTGAAAAAGAAATGAGAAAAACTGCCATGAAGGCAGAGTTAAGAAAACATGTTTCTCTTTGAGAACTATTACATACATAACTATATATTTCATTAAGTAAACATTTTAAGCTTTTTATACTATTTTGCCAATGCTGCATTATCAGAAAAAACATAACCCATTATTATTTCTGTACAATGCTTTAAAAAGTTTGCTAAGTATGAAAGTAACTAAATCAAATAAAAGAATATACTAAATGTGTTACCAGCATATCTTTAAAGGGGTTTCCTTGAAAGTGACTTCAGAATTCATTATGAGTCATGGAATTTCTTATTAGTGTATGTTTGCAATGCAGCAAGTGATATTCATTTAGGGGAATTAATATATGTACAGAATATATCTTGATCATTTCAGAGAGGGCTTCTACTTCATTTGTTTCAAACCTACTACTATCTCCAATCTGGTTTTACCTTCAATTGTAGAATGACAATTCAAGTAATCAACGTTTACTTGTCTTAAAGCTCAGCCTCTTCCCAAATATGGTGACTTCTGAATTGGGTTGTGGAAGCAGACTAATTAGACTGCTTTTGCTACAGCCCAGGCACTCTGGAGGCAAAAGCTTACATAGGTTCTATAAAAAAAATAGAACTCCAGGAAGATACCAAGAATCAGAATAGCTAGGTCAAATGGTTTAGTTTTTTGAGGAATCTCCATACTGATTTCCACAGTGGTTGCACTAGTCTACACTCCCCCCAACAGTGGAGAAGGCTTCCTTTTCCCCACAGTCCCATAAGCATTTGTTACTGGTTAAATTATTGATAATAGTCATTTTTTCTGGAGATGGAATTTCAGTGTTGTATTAATCTGTATCTCTTGAATGACCAGCAATGTTGAACATTTTTTCACGTATTTGCTGTTTGTACTTCTTCATCTAGGAAGTATCTATTCATTTCAGATGCCCACTTTTGGATTGGGTCTTTAAATTTGGGGGAGGTCTAATTTTTTTAGTTCTTTATATATTACACCACAGTGATATATGCACACCCATGTTTACAGCAGCACAGTTTGTAATAGCTAAATCTTGGAAACAGCCCAAACGCGGAATAACTAATGAAAGGGTAAAGACGTGTTTTGTTTTGTTTTGTTTTGTTTTATACAATGGAGTACTAAGCCAGGGAGATAAATTTGAGAGATTTCTAGGTAAATGGATGCACTCTGAGACCATATCCTTGAGTAAAATAAATCAGACACATATGTGTAAATATCACATTGTTTTTCTGGATCAATAAGGACCAAAATGTATAATAGAAATAGGAAGAAAGTGTTCAAATAGGAAGGGGTACTAGGGAGGGATGAGGGAGAAAGGAAGGGAAAACAAAAAAGAAAAACAGAAACAAAGCATTTATAAATAAGAAGGGGAAGAGGAATTGAAGGAAAGGGAAGTGAATGGGAAATTAAGATATATCATGTGTAGGTACAAATTCCCTATGATGAATGTGATCATTATCTATATCTAACATGCACCAATAAAATTAATTTAAAAAATAAAACTCCAGAAATAAAAAACAGAACATGCTATTGCCGGGCATGGTGGCACACACCTGTAATCCCAGCACTCGGGAGGCTGAGGCAGGAGGATCGCTATGAGTTCAAGCCCAGCCTGGGCTACATAGTGAATTCCAGGTCAGTCTCAACTACATAGTGAGACCCTGTCTCAAAAAAACCAAATAAATAAATTAATTAATAAATAACAGAACATGCTAAAACAAGGCTTTTTAAAAAATCTCTATAGGGGTAATAGAAACAAAACTTACTTTGTAAGTATAGCATACTTTTAGGGCCTAAGGAAGTCACTAATCTTATATAAAGTGGGAAAAATTTTAGAATTTTAACAACTTATTGTAATGAACAGAAAAATTAAATAGTAGCTACTAATCCTTCATGCTTATTATATGCCAGATATAATACATACACTGTTTCATCAAATGCTCATAACTATTCTCCTAAAATTATTTTAACTATCCTACACTTCAAATGAAAAAATTTTATTTTAACAAAGGGAAGATAATTTTCTACTGTTGCAACACTAAACAACAGTTCCAATCCTAATTAGCACAGTACTAGATTTGGAAAAGAGGTTCATCTGACTCCTGAGCCTACACTTTAACCACCACACTGTCCTGAATAAATTGGTTATAAGAAAGAAACCTGACAGAATTAGTAAACTAAAAATCAAAAGAACATTCTGAAAATTGAACACAAGTATATAAAAATAGAAGCTGGTCTCACTTTATTCCGTGGCTATCCATACTGAGTTACTCCTGCAACAGTATTTAAAAGTAGTACTGAATGTTTTCCATACCCTAAGTAAAACATGCTTGGAGATTGGTGTGAAGGCCAGGTCTGCCCTTGGCTAGAGATGGGACTTTGCACAAGTTACTTAACCCCTTTTGTTCCTTATATCCACATCTCTATAGCGGCATAAAATTACAGTATTACCCCACAAGGTACAAGTGTAAAATGACAAAAAGCAATTAAGGCAGGGAGCAGTGGTGCACACCTGTCATCCCAGCACATGGGAGTCTGAGGCAGGAGGATGACCATGAATTCAAGGCCAGCCTGAGCTACACAGTGAGACCCCATCTCAAATAAATAAACTAATATAAAATAAATAATATAAAGCAATTAAAATAGAGCCTGCCATATAGGGAGTACAGTAGGAAGTTTCCCCTTAACAGCAGATTTGTAGTTTGTTACCCACAATCAAATGTGGTCTGAAAATATTAAGTGGAAAATTCTAGAAACAACTCATAAGTTAATCATGCACTGTTCTGGGTAGCATGATGAAAGCTGCCACTATCCCACTGCTTCCCATCCTGCTTGGGACCTGAATCATCCCTTTGTCTAGCACATCCCACATCCACACTGCATATGCTTCTCACTGGTTAGTCACTCGGTCACTCTGAGTTATCAATGGGTCATCACAGGATCACAATGCTCACATCTCCAAGCAACTTTTATTTTACAAATAGTAGCCCCAAAGCTCAAGAGTAGTAATGCAAAGGAAGCAGGAAGGCATAAAACATGAGAGAGAACATTAATCCTGTACAATATGCAAAGCTTCAGGGTATATAGGAAAAAAGATAATATATAGGGTACTAATGGTGGTTTCAGGAATCCACTGGAGGTCATGGAACATGAACATATCCCCTACGGATAAGAGGAACTACTATACCCAATACATGTTAGCTGCTATCACTGACATCACTGTTAATCATTATGGTCAGCTCTGGCTTATCCAGTATGTAATCTTAGAACCACTAAAAGAATGGTTATATACTTAAGGGTTTGTGAAAGATCCCCCTCTACTATAAATAACTCACATTCATACTCTATTCTCCTATTTCTGAACCATTTTGTAAACCAGTAATTCAATTGTTTCAGAAATAACTAAAAAGTAGGTCATTTACCAGTAAGTAATACTGTCTCTCTCTAAATAAGAAAACTTCCCAGGCTTAAGTTCTGTTCTTTGATTATAAAACCCTACAAAGTGTACCACAATGCACCACAACGAACCCTAGCATACAAATTTAAGTTAATGTAGTCAGCATTTTACAGCAAGGATTTCAACTTTGCCTCTTTATTTTTTTTTTTTTTAGTATTATTTTTTCAACTCTTTTTTAGATCACTTGGGCTCCTGGAAACAACCTGCCATACTTTTAAGACATTCAGGCAGCTCCATGGAGGTGAATACACAGCAAGAAACTATGGCCCCTTACTTTTGTTGTTGTTGTTGTTGTTGTTGTTGCTGTTACCAGGGATCGAACTTGGGACATTGCGCTTGCAAGGCAGGCGGTGGAACCACTGAGCTAAATCCCTGGTCCTGGCCTCTTATGAAAAAAGAGCAAAGGACTCACTGAGGCCCTCTGCAAAAGCGGTGAAACTTTTTGGGACCAGATCCTGCAGCCCCAGGAAGAGATCCTAAACCAGAACAACCCAGCTAAACTGCTCCCAAATTTCTGACACTCAAAAATAGTAAGACAATAAATGTGTGCTATTTTATGTTGCAAAATTTTGGAACAGTTTTTCTCCAGTATCCATAGGAAATTAGTTCCCAAGACCTCCAGCATATACTAAAACCCTCAAAAGCCCAAGTCCCTTGTATAAAATGGCAGTGTTTCCTATTATGCCAATTTATAAAAATGACTCAAACATTCATAACTTTTGGTACCTGTGGCTGATCCTCGAACCAACACCACCCCCCAAAATACTGAAGAATGACTGTAACCTATGCTAGTATAAATATAGTAGGTCGGCAATAAATTATTACCCTAATGCACTCTTTTCTACCTATCTTCCCCCTTAATAAACATGGTATTACCTTCAAATGCTTATAAATCCATTTTGACACTATTAATTTTAGAACTCTTTGAACAACCTATCATATGTATTAGTCAGCTTTCACACTGCTGGGACAAAATAACTGATACCTGCAACTTAAAAGAGGACAGGTTTATTTTGGCTTGTAGTTCCAGAGGTTTCAATCCGTAGCTGACTGGCTCTAAGGCAGAAACATCATGGCAGAAGGTGATGGTGGAGGAAATCTGTTTACTTCAAGGAAGCTGGGAAGCAGAGCACAGGGGAAGATCATTGGGAAGAAATATACCCTCCAAAGGCAAGCCCCCAGTGACCCACCTCCTCCAACTGAGCCCCACCTCCTAAGAGTGCATCCCACTATGAACATCAGACTCCAGGACTATCTTAATCCAGTCAAACTGACAGTTAACATTGACTAGCCCAGGGTCGTTCAAAAGATCCTAGAAGAGCATTATATCTGCATATGAAATACAAAAATAATTGCAAGAAACCACAATGTAACCATGAAAAAGTATCCTTGAAAAAAAAAAAGGAAAACTAAGATGCCCAACTAAAAATCAATACCTAACACTGAACACAATCATATGAATGTAATGCTGAGACCGTTCCTTTCTCGGATATATATGCCATTGTTAACCCAAGTAACTTAACTTGACTACAAAATAAGTCCACTGTTAAAACTTTTTTTCTCCCTACACAAGGGAAAGACATTTCTTCTTTTTTTTTTTTTTGGTACCAGGGATCAAACTCGGGTCCTTGTGCTTGCAAAGCAGGCGGCAGAACCACTGAGCTAAATCCCAAACCCAGGGAAAGACATTTCTTGAAAGCCTACCTACAACTGATCTTCTCTTTTTCATTCCAAGCATTATCTACATACACCTGAAATGTCAGAGAGTGAGGGGGAATGATGATCCACTATGTTAGAGAATTACGGAAGATTAAGTTTATGAAGGTTTTGCATGCCTTATGAAGGTCTTCTAACTTTCTCCAAAAGCAATGATAATCCATTGAAAGATAACAAAAACAGAAATCACAAAAAATTGTACTCCTGCCCTAAGAAAAGTCTGGTGAGTGTTGAACATGTGAATGAGATGAAATTGGAAACAAAGCTTACAATTAAGAGACAATTATAAGTGCTTAATAAATAGGACTTATGATGACTTTGTAAGGCAATGTGGTAGTAAATCAAAGTGCATATATCCAGCAATTTGAGACATAATCCAGGGAATTCATTCCACATATGCACCAGGACATTATTCTAGAATGTTCCCTACACCACTGCAAACAGTGGATATAAAAAAGGTAAAAACTTCAATGATCACCAACAGGAAAATGAATAAATATAGATAGAATGTTATAAGATAGTTTCAAGTAATATATTAGATCTATGTACAGTATATCATCATAGCTAGATTTTGAAATAAAATGAATAAAATATCCTTATACAATAGGTACTATTACGATCCTATTTGAAGATGGGGACTCTGAGGCAGAGAATTTCAGTATTTACTCAGAGGCCGACATATTAAGTGCCAGAGCTAAAATTCAAATCCAGGCAGTCTGGAAGTGGAAGGGAGGATGGGCTAAATATTTTATGTCGAATTCTGAATGACTGTGGATTCTGAACAAGGGGATGAATATCAGGGTAAGGGAGTGGAGTCAGAGGGAGATTAGTTATAGTTGAATTAAAAGGATGTATTCAAACAATTTTTAAGCAGTTTAACAATGATGTGAGCACGTGTTATTTTTCCATACAAAACTATAGATGATGGACACATGGAGGCCTCTTCTTAAAATTTCTTTGTACTTTGGAGTTTCAACGTCTAAGGAAGGCAATAATGTATGCATCACGATTTCCTTTCAATTATTATTTTTAAATCAACAGATCTAAAATTGTTCCAGTACTTTCTCAACTGTGGCACTAGAGTGACACTGTGCACCGGATAACCACGGTGGGTTTTCCTGTGCGTGTCTGGGTGTCTGGCTGCGTTCCTGGACCCTAAGCACTAGAAAGCAGTAAAACCCATTTTCCCGAGTTGTGTCAATTACAAAGCCCCACAGAAACTGACAAAAGTCCCCTGAATGGCAGAACACATTCCCCCAATTGAGAATGACCATCCTAATTAAAGACGTTTTGCAGTTTCTATTTCAACTTTAATTAACCATTCGGGCCTATTTCAAAGATACCTTCCCTTCTAGCATCTCATACTCCAAATGTGAAGGACGTTGAGGTGAAGAAAATTTCAAGAACAATAATCCCAAAATATATCTTGGTTCCTATTTTTTCGCCATTTCACAAATTCCCAATGATGAATGTCAACGTAATGTATACCTAAAATATACCAATAAACTTGATAAGACAATAATCATCCCAGAATATAGCAAGCAGTTAAAATCTATAGAATGACAGATCCGGGACCCCAGACGCCTGCATCCTTCCCGCTCTCTCGCAAAGCAAGAACGTGGGGTGAAGTCCTGTCCGACAGGCCCTCCGGGCAGACGCCGCCTTACCTCAGCAAACCTTCCACACAGCAGAAGCCCTCTGCAGGGACAGCGTTCAGCCACTCCAAAGCTCCCGCCAGCGCACTGCATTCTGGGAGGCCCCGCCCTCAGACGGTGTGAAGGCATAGAAGGCGGGGCCTGCCGCGGCTGCTTGGAGACGGTTGCCTGGGGAGGAGGGGGAGGCGGGACCTCCAGGGATTATTACAAAAGCTAATGGCAAACCCTGAATTCTAGAGCGGAACTCGAAAGGGAAGCGCCGGCGCCCGCGGCTCTCGGGGGCGGGACTACAGTGCGTTGACGACAGGAGGAGGGGCCCAAACGAGAAACCAATGGGATCCAGAATAAGGGTTTCGTCCCGCCTTCACGCCCAGGCGGCCGCATCGGATTGAACGATGCGGCAGCACTTCCGTCTGCTTTCCCTTGTCACGCGACACCGCCTCTCCCTCCCGCCCTTCTAGGTCTACCTCAGGGCGGGACTGGCGGGTGATGAGACTCGGCCGGCTGCAGCTGAAGGGACGAGGGCTGGACCTACTGTAATTACGTCCAAGATCGTGGTTATGGCCGAGGTGAGGAGCTGAATGCACTACTGCTGGCCCCTTGGTCTTGGTCTCGGAGGACGCCTCCCAGGACCGGGGACAGGGTTCCCGGGCACAAGTGGGCTGGGCTGAGGGTAACCGGGATGGTTCAAGAAGTATCTAAGGTCCTGTCATATTTCCCATCCAGAATCACCCTCAGAATAAAGCCAGGCTCATCTGTGAGACCCGCCGGAGGTTCGAAGCTGAGTTTGTGTCAGGTGAGCACCGCGTTTTCGAGGTTGAGGAAGATGTTCAATGCGCGTCCTCAACTTTACGAGGGTGTTTGTCAGTGTCTCTATGCAATGTTTCAGGGACCCTTTCAACCTTCCAGTAATGATGCTCAGGGCGTTTCAAAGGTTTTACTCTCCACAACAAGCTGTGTCTGCCTTTCCAAAGTGGGCAGGTGGTGCATCCAAAGTTTCCTTTGAAGGGTTAACATAAGTTGGAAATCGGTGGCTTTCTGGCATCTCGAGTTTATGGAACTTGGCAAGACATTTGTTAGGCCCACAGTCCAAGGTTCCTGTGCGACTTTTCACCCAACAACACTCTAGAAAATGAACCTGGAAACTGCCATAGTACTATTGACATGTACTTAATTGAGTTTGCCACTCACTTTGATATTTTGTCAGATCCTACTTCTCACAGCCCAGCATACTATCCGCAGTGCAGGTCCTCCCATGCTAGAACAAATTCTATCATTCTCATCTCACACTATACCTAGCAAAGTAGCTGTGAATCTAGAATTGACTTACTGGTTGAACATACCAGATGGCTCAGGTACTTCGGTGGTCATGTACTTACCTGATGATTTAATACTTGCACAGTAATTTGTAAAAACATGGGAGGGTAATAAGTTAATACAGAATTGAATATAGGTCTGTATGTTAACTACCTTGACTGATTCTAATCCTTACTTTGCCACTAGATAGCTTACTTGTCTATTCTGAAATAGACCATACCTCTGAAATGCAGATGAAGTTAGGAAGATGAATCGAAGAAAGTGTGCGTCAAGCTACCTAGTGCAGGCTTAACATACAGTAGATTTTTAATGAATTCTTTGTGTCAGTAATCATTTTGGTTACTGTGAAATGAGTTGAGCTTCCATATCTTGACGTAAGTACTCAGCTAAAGTTTCCTGCAGTTTTAAGCTGTCCTAGATTACACATCACTTGATGACCTAGAACAAATAAGGAAATCTGTTCCAAATAACCTGGTCAGTAAATTCTTTCATGCCTCCTTGCCAGTTTTTTTCATGCTCCAGACTTTGTACCAGCGAGTTGCAAAAGCACTTGATTCACTTATAGCCCAGAGATCTCCTTTCTAATAACATATCTGGTACCAGTAAAAAGGGAAATCCAAAACCACTTTCTATAGAAATGTAGCTAATAGCTGCATGGTTTTTGGTATTTTACAAGTAACTCAAACCAAACCTAATGAACCAGTGACATGACAACTGTCATTTACTTTAAGCCCGAAGGAGGAAGCAGAAATATAGCAATAGATAAGATCTTAAAAGTTAATCTTGGTTCAGTCTTCTCATCTTTAAAATGAAAAAAGTGTGGTATGGAGAAAGTAAGTGATTTGCTCAAAATCCCTGGTGTTAGTTGCTTAGCCAGGACTGGTACTCAGGCCTTCTGAATTTCACTAGAGTGATCTAGAGTGTTCTCAAATTAGGTTGTGTCATTCTCCAGCCTGCAACCCTTCAGTCGTCTACCCACTCCATTTGAAATAAAACCTGTTTTTCACCGTGGCCTATAATCCAACATGATTTGGATCCTGCTTACCCCTCCAGCCTCACCTGTTAGCATTCTTCTTGTATAGTACAGATTTAACCCTTTCCAGCATTTAGAAACATACAGTAACAACCCTGTCAGTACACACATGCATACACTTAAATACTTAAAGCAAGAGTTAAAGATATGCTTATAGTCAGCATGGTGGTGCCCACCTACAATCCCAACACTATGGGAGGCTGAGGTAGGAGCATTACAAGTTCCATCACAGCCTGGGCAACTTAGTGATTTAGTGAGACCCTTCTCAAAATAAAAAAGGCTTGGCGGGGCCGGGGATTTAGCTCAGCGGTTCGGTGGCCTGCTTTGCAAGGCAAGGACCCAAGTTCGATCCCCAGTACCAAAAAAAAAAAAAAAAAAAAAGGGCTTGGGGATTGTAGCTCAGTGTGAAGGTTCTGGGTGCAATCCCCAGTACCCCCCACCCCCGCAAAACGAATTCTTATTTTGAAAACATGTGACTCGTATTTCTTCTATTTGTCTTTTTAAAGATGTAGAGACCCACAAAATTGGCTTCACAATCTAAAACATGATTCACAGTTTGAAAGGTATGACTACACTACTACATTTGTGTTCTTCAAACAATGAGTCTGTTTCCACCTCAGGAACTTTCCATTTTTTCCCTCTGTCTTCTCCCATTAGTGTGCATGGCTGAGTTCTTTTTATTTTTTTCATTTCAAGGTTTAAGTGTATCTGAGAGGTCTTCGCTGATTATTAAATAGCTTCCCTATCCAATTTGCTTTCTCTCCTTGGCAGTTGTTATCATAATCTGCAGTTGTCTTCTTCATTTGTTTGTTGTTTCCTCTAATAGTTTTTGGGTTCTGGAGAAACCTGTAGAAATTGAGGCCAAAGACCTTGTGAATCTTATCTCTGAATACCTAGTACAATTCCCAGTGCATACTCATTGAATGACTATAGCAATGATTAAATATGTGTGTTGGAAGATTAGACCAATTTTTAATTAAGAACTGTCCTATTGGCTCCCTTTTCCCATCAAAATGTGGCAAAGCATAGCCCTCACAATATGTTTTATAAAGACAAGCATTGTTTCAAAGTAAAGCATTAAATAGCATTGAGTATAGAGAGGGTCTTGTCCTTAAAATATATACACTCAGGTACATGCGAACCCATGTATTTGGGTTATCTGCTAGCAAATGCAAATATTAGAAACTTTCATGGGAAAGGAAAATAAAAATCATTAAAGATAGCCTCATTTTAAAGATTTAGTTGTTTCCTAAAATATAACATCTGAAAAAGTCAGAGTTGGAAAACAGAAAAAAAGTTTTTTAATTTTCATGTGTTGTCCTTTTTAGAACATCTACTTTTTTCTTCCTCTTTCACTGTTTCTGTAGTCATTAACAGTATTTTGCTTCATCAGAGGCTTAAAACAGATTTAAAAAAATAAGTTTTTTCTAAACAAAAATATTTATCACACTGGGAGTGTAGCTCAGTGATAAAGAGCTTGCCTTGCATGATCCCCAGTGCTGTACAACAAACAAAAACAACTTATCATCTGCAGGTATATCACTGCAAGTACTAACTAGATTCCAAAATTCTTTTAAAGGTAGATTCTTGGGAATTCCAAGCATAATTTTGTGCTCACAAAAGTTACCGATTATGGATAGATTTTTAGCTGACAAAACAAACTAAAATAGAGGTCCATAATTACTACTTTTTTCCACATTGTTACTGTGAGAAATTCCATGCTGAGTCTAAAATGAGAAGCATTTCCTGTTCTTTTCCCTGCTTGTACCAAAGACAAGAAGACTAATCTCTTCTGATAATAATTTATTCAATTCCTCAAGTGTTCATTATATTCCGGGAAGCAGTATCATTATTAGAGAAGGGGCTAAAGGACTGAGCCCCTTCCCAAACTACTAAAATCCAATAGAGGTTTTTTTTTTGTTGTTTTTTTGTTTTTTTTGAGACAGGGTCTCTCTATGTAGTTGAGACAGACCTGAAACTCACCATGTAGCCCAGGCTGGTCTCCAACTCACAGCGATCCTCCTGCCTCAGCCTCCTGAGTGCTGGGATTACAGGTGTGCTACCACGCTTCATTATTAGAGAAGGGGCTAAAGGACTGAGCCCCTTCCCAAACTACTAAAATCCAATAGAGGTTTTTTTTTTGTTGTTTTTTTGTTTTTTTTGAGACAGGGTCTCTCTATGTAGTTGAGACAGACCTGAAACTCACCATGTAGCCCAGGCTGGTCTCCAACTCACAGCGATCCTCCTGCCTCAGCCTCCTGAGTGCTGGGATTACAGGTGTGTGCTACCACGCCCGGCTCCCCAATAGAGATATTGAAAAAAAGATAACTCCCAAGCTTGAAGCAACTTGTATTGAGTAGTAAGAGTGCTAAAATGTTTTCTTAAGAGTCAAAGACAAAGGTGACTACTGGTTGGTAGTTGCTTTAGCACACAGAAGGAACTTCAAAGAAAATGTGGTACTATAGTTTGGATCCTTTTTTTTTTTGCCTTTTTTGTAGTACTAGGGGATTGAACTCAGTACCTTTGCAATGGGCTACATCCTCAGGCCTTTTCATTTTTCATTTTGAGCCAGGCTGCCCAGGCTGAGCTCAACTTGTGATCTTCCTGCTGCAGCTTCCCACAGTGCTGGGATTCCAGACATGAGCTACCATACCTCACAATCGTTTGGATCTTTAGTGTCCCCCAAAGGTTTGTGTAGTGAAAGCTTCACCCGTGGGGTCCTGCTGTTGGGAGGTAATGGACTCTTTAGGAGGTAGGGCCCAGTAGGAGGTCTTTGGTCCCTGGGGGACATGCCCTTGAGAGGGACTTTAGGACCCTAGTCCTTCACCTTTCCTCTCTATCACTCCCTGGCTATGAAATGAACAGTTCTGCTGTACCACAAGGTCTCACCATAATGTGCTGCCTCGCTTCAGGCCAAGAACTAATCAGGTGAACCAATTATGGATTGGACTCAGCTCCAAAACTGAGAGCCAGGGTAACCCTTTTCTCTGATTATATCAGCTACTGTACTTGTTGTAATGACAGAAAGCTGCCAAGTGGTGTTTCTTCCAAACGTGGAAACATGGCTAGGTAGAGAAGGTGATCCAGGTGAGTCAAATGGTTTGCGTCAAAGCACAGAGGTGAAAAGGTATGTTTTGCACATGTGGAAGCAAGAGGAGTCCACTTTGGCTAGATTAAAAGAGAGAAGCACACGTGGCTAAAAACACCAGGACTCCAGCAGAGAGCCATGCACACCCAGGTGACGTTTTTGTACTTCTGTGAGTGTGGACAACTATTGAGATACTTGTGGATTTTGTTCTTTAAGGTATATAAATCTATTTAAGTGAATTTGATACTAAATAAAAGTCTGAAGAAGCCTCCATCAGCTTCCATCCAGAGATAGCTCTACTAACAGCAAGTACATTTTTTTCCAGCCTCTTTTCTACATGTTTAAGAAAGCAGAGTTA